AATCATGGAATATTGATTTCATCATTTTTGTTAATGGATATCTTCACTTGTCAACTTTACTAGTCATTTGGTTTGTAGATATGCAACCAAAATATATTGCCTGAAGTTTAGAGTATTTTTTACTAGTGTACTAAAACCAAAGCATGGGTATGTAATCTCTCTCAGAAATAATAGGAAACCAGTTGAAATTTGCTGATTTTAATGTATCTGTCCGCTCAGAAATCACGTGCCCAATTTTACTACTTTTTTTTAAATATGAAAACAAACAATGGTGGCGCTATTGTGAATAAGGTCTATTATTAAGTAAATAAATTAATAAATCTGATAATAAATAAATAATCAATAAATCTGACAAAGGTCAGACAAAATGTGTGGCCTCAAAATTTCCATACCTACACCATGGAATGTTATTGCAATTTCTGAGAGGGTGGGGATCTCCAAAGCCAAAAGTTTTAAAGCAATGTATTTAGATGGAATTTCAGGAGGGGCGGACTTCAAACCAAATAACCTTGTAGGGGAATGGATATTTTCTGGAATAACACGTACAGTTGGACCTTTACTTCATATGCAGTTTGTGAACCGACAATTATTATGAATTATTATCTTTGTTGTAAAATTCTATCAAAGTAGAATTTAGGAAGTATCGTTATACACTGTGTTATATTGTTCATGTCACCTTTATTTTCTCCATTTTTGCTTCCGATATTCCTTTTATTTGGCACATTTTTCGCCTTGTAGTCATCTGCACTCCCTATAGAAATTATATTAATCAACGCAATTCAATTCAGTGAAAATTTCCCTCTTGTTTAGCTTAGTTTAGTTAACCTTATTCTAAAATTTCAAGTTTCATCATACAAACAGACGAACATAATCTTACCTTGACAGTGCATATTCCAGCTGACTTGAGCTTTTTTATATCGGCAACATTCTTGAAAAACAGTCAATTATTCATTAGATTCTAGCGAAGGACAATAATATAACGAACGCGGTGAAAAACAGGATTGGCTGAGTACTCACAATTCCGTGGTTCTGAAGAAGGTCTATATCCTGATAAAATGATTCCTAATAGACAAAGAAAAATTTTTTTCGTCAACGGATTTACTCATAACCACATACTTGTTGAATGGACAAACATTTTTACGACGTTTTTATTTAAGTTTCCCTCTTCCACGGTCCAAAGTCACACAAGTTGAGGTGTGTATAAGCCAGCGGTTTTCAACTGGTTTCTCTTTGAATAATCAAAAATCCTTACCTCTTCTTGATCGCTTAACTCCTCCTCAACTACTTGGTCACGAGCAGAAGCAGTTTCCATCATCTTTGAGTTTCGTTAGGTTTTGTTTAGCTTAGTAAACTACAAGACTTCAGCTTTATTCAGCCCTGTGAACGATTGAAAAGTGCTTCATTTCTGCGAAAATGTGCGCCTAAATATTTACCCGCAGACCTTGTTAAATCAATTGAGTTTTGCACAATGTAATCAGTAACCCATTCCTGGTTTACTTACCTTTAAGAAGAAAACTAACCCTCAAAAAAGTGAGAATGTCGAGCCGTTCAAGCCACTAACTACACGGAGGTAACGAGAAAAACTTGCGTTGTTGACTGCGCGCGGTATTATGAATTTTTCCCGCGAAAAGTTAGCCGCGGGCGCGCACAATTATTTCCCGCTATTTTCAAACCTGTAGTCGAGGCAAAACCCGCAAATGGTCCCGCAAATGACAAAGGAAGCTGACGTTTTGAGCTTTTCAGATAATTTTTCCCAAACTGCTTGATACATCAACTTTGTCCTCTTCGTGTGAACGGCAAAAAAAAATTGAAAACGGTCGAGAGAGATGGGCTCTAGGAGGGCTCTAGCGGTTCGCGAATACGTGGAAATTTGATTGCGAAATTTCTGCTCTTTCACGTATGAAAGGTTCCACCTCATCATATCACAACGCTCGGACATTTTTGGGGAAAATTATTTTGTTTAATCTAAGGCACTTCTATGATTACGTTTTAAGCTTTTAGTAACAAATTTGCTGTGAAATAATTCCAACACTAAAGAAAATTCAAGTTCGTTTCTGTCGTGTTTATTTTGCTTTTATTCATGTATATATATTCAAATACTGCTTTCCAGACCTTTCATGTATCTTCCTTTTGAAAATATTTTCAAGGTAAACCCTTTTCAAAACTTTTCAAATTCCCCAGAAAAAATATGGGCGCTTAAAATACGCACGCGCCATTTTTTTTTTAAATAAAAAAATTCAAAGTTAAATATTTCAACAAGTACTTTGCTTATTTGTAATAATATTTCATTTGAAAGTCAAATATATGATAGTTTATTTGCATTTTGTAGTAAATATTCTCACTCAAAATAAATCATCATAACTGTTCTTTTGTAGTTTATTTTCTCTTTATTCTTCTCTTGTTTACTTACAAGTCAACAATTACTTAATTAAGATGATTTCTGCGGAACATCCGAGCTATAATGGCAAGAACTGAAAAAGTTACCAAAAAACCTCATAGCATGGTAATAGTTTGAATAAAGGTAAGAAGAACTCATCGAGATTTAAGCTCTCAAGCTGACCCCGCGAGAGAACTTGAAGTTATCCATATTTCAATGAAAACGGACGTTTCACGTTAGTTGAAAAAAACAATAACACGCGAATTAAGCATTCTTACGAGGTTTGACATTAAATTTCTCGAGAATGCTTGGGGATTTAATCGCGGGATCACCTAGAGAAATAAATTACAGTGAGATGTTTTAAATAGTATTCAAAAAATTACTGTACTGTGAGTAGATTTTTAGTAAATAATTTTTGCACTTATTGCTCGAACTTTGAGCGGAATCCGTCTTAATTAAAAATTGGTAAAAAGGAATTAAATGGTTGTCA